ATGCTGAGCGTGTTCTTCCCTTTTGGTTTTCAGACTCCAGGTCTTTGCACATTTCATTATAGTAATTGGCTTTGTCTACTCAAGCTGCTCTTTGAAATCTTCTCTTCAGCCCCTTTACCTTTTCATTTCTTCCATTTGCTTTAGATGTTACTAGCCCTAAAGTGTGTAGCATCATGCCTAGGGTGGGCCTTTCTTTTCATTGTGTGCTTGTCTAAAAGACATTTCCAACAGTAAATTTTCACATTTAGCATTTGTATTTGCCTGGTGCTATATGGGTCCTAGGAGCTCTGGTAGCATAGTGCCTAAGGCACTTGACTGCTAACCAGAAGGCTGGAGGTTCAAGTCCCCCAGCCACTCCTTGGAAGGAAGGTTGGGCAATCTACTTCTGTAGCGATACGGCTTCAGAAACCCAAGGAGGGGTCGCTATGAGTTGGGGCCAACTCGACGGCACATAACAACAACATATGTGTCCTAGAAAACTAGAGAAAATAGTGAAGCAAATTGTGGAGAAGGAAAGTTAACAAGTGAGAAAAGCAATTGCAATGAAAGAAAAAATACTGCTGCATATAAAGCAACTGTAAATCATTTATAATCAAGATATAAGGTTTTAAACATTATATATCTTAAAATGATAGTTTGTTTCTTATATTTAGGTGTATTGTTTTAGGTTGTTTAGGTATTTTTAGAAAATAGTCAAGACCTTAGGGTTTCTGTATAATATATAATTATATTTTTCTCAGTTAAAATAATGGGGAAAAATTAATTATACAATAGAGTCTATAAAAAAATAATGAGGAATAGGTTCCTGGTTAGGATTTTCACTTAGAACATAAGATTTTCAGTGAAAATGTAGTAATGATAGGTAATAAATGCTTTGTTTGTTGTCAGACTTTTGATTCTTTTATTTATCCTTTTTTTAAGAGAAAAGAACAAATCACTAAATAGACTTTAGTTTTGTGTATCCTGAATATTGTACCATTGTTTTCTATTTCATTAATTGCTCATCTTATTTTTATTATTTCCTTGCTTCTACTTTTTTGTTTCCCCTCCCTTTTTTAAAAGTGTGTTTATTTGCAGACTCAATTTTAATCTTTCATTTATCCCCCATAATGTTTGAATGTAATACTACAAATTTCCTTCTAAGTACTATTTTGGCTGAATCCACAAATTTTGACTTGTAGAGTCTTTATTGTTATTCAGTTTTAAATGAGGTCTAATTCCTATAATGATTTATCTTTTGTCTCATGAATTTTTTAAAAAATGTATTTTTAAAATTTCTAAACAAATAGATTTTTGAGGATATCTTTTTGTTATTGACTTTTAATTCTACTGATGAAAAAAGTCTGATCATGGAGTCTAAAAAAGCAAACACAACCATTGCCATGGAGTTGGATCTGACTCATAGCAACCCCTCTTTGGGTTTCTGAGGCTGTATCACTACGGAAGTAGATTGCCCAACCTTCCTTCCGGGGAGTGGCTTGTGGGTTTGAACTGCCAGCCTTCTGGTTAGCAGTCAAATGCCTTAGGCACTATGCCACCAGAGCTCCTTATCATGGAGTCTATATAGTACTTATTTCTTTTGTCACTCCTCCAAACTTCTATATCTATTTCTTATACTTTTTCTAATTAGATCTTTTTGGACCATAGAGAAATACTTCTGGACACTCTAAAGTGAGTGAGGACCAATATGGTTGACTTAATTTGATAAAACTTGGCTATTTGGTAGGTTACCTGAGATCCAGCAAGTGATCCCCTCCTCCTCAGTGTGAAGAGTTATTCTAGATACTGTTTTGGATCTCAAGAGGCCATTCATTATTCCACATTATCACTCAAAGATATCTGGCCTATTCTCTGAAGATGAATGAAGTTATTAGCGTTATTAGTAGAAGACCTGGTCCTCTGCACAAAATTTTAACTTTTTATCCTACTGAATTTTGTAGCAAATCTCAGTGCATTTAAAAGCCTGAATTGTACTACTATTTTTATATGTGTGAGACAAGGATAAACAGAGTAGAGTTACCTTAAATAAAACATCTCATCTTATTTTAATTTTCATCTCAGGAATTTCCACCTGCTTTCTTATGTCCTATTACTTTGGTGTCTTTCTAATCCTAAAGTGAGTTATTATTTCATCCAACCCTGGATTAAAATTTGAATTAATGTTAAAAAAAAAACAAAACCCTCACTGCCATTGACTCAATTCTGATTCATAGAGACTCCCCTTTGAGTTTCCAGGGTGGTAAATCTTTACAGAAGTAGACTGCCCAGTCTTCCTTCTGTAGAGTGGCTGGTGGGTTTGAACTGACAACCTTCTGGTTAGCAGTCAAATGCCTTATGCACTACACCACCAGAACTCCTAAATTAGTATTATGAATTTGTATATGTTATTTAAAAAATGTTATGTATCTGTTGGCCTTTCACCAAAGTATAGGAGCCAGGTGGTCTCATGAGGCCAATTGGTCATACTAAACCTTCTCTTAATACTACTAAGGAATAGGAGTTTTTAAAAATGTTTTACATGAAATCATCATACTGATATATTGTTATACTACTTTCTTTGCTACATTTGTGTCTTAAGGTTCTCTAGAGAAACAGAATCAGTGATATGTCTATCTGTCTCTCTTTATATATTTTAAGGAATTGTCTCACATGATTGTGGAGGGCTAAAAGTCCAAAATGTGTAGTTCAAGTGACAGGCTATGGATTTCTTCAGCCTTGTGTACCCAAATATCTGTGTCAGGTGACTGGAAGAGTGAAGAATGAGGGAGTTCTGGAAAAATGTCTATTTATAGTCTGGATGCAGAGTATACCCTAGGAAAATCTCCTTTTTTGTTCTTGAGACCTTCAAGTGTTTGGTTAATTCCCACTCATAGAGGGAATCTGCTTTGTTGAAGGCTGACTGATTTAATAAGATGTTACTACTTCATAATAGTAGCTCTGGTAGCATAGTGGCTAAAGCACTTGACTGCTAACCAGAAGGCTGGCGGTTCAAACCCACCAGCCACTCCTCGGAAGGAAGGTTTGGCAATCCTACTTCCATAGTGATAACTGCCTCGGAAACCCAAGGAGGGGTCACTGTGAGTCAGGGCCGACTCGACAGCACATAACAACAACAACAACAACTTCATAACAGAGTCTAGTGTTTGATCAAACAGTTGTGCACCATACCCTAGCAAAACTGACATGTGTAATTAACCATCACAATCTGTACGTTAATTTTCATTAATATTTTATTAGTTTAGTTTATTTTTTATTCTTTGCCAAAGCACAGAATGTGCACCCTGTATTCACAGACTTGGTGTATCAGAAGTGTCCCAAAGTCTAAATGCATTGTTGTAATTCTTGCTGAAATGGAAATGATTTTGTGCTTAGGCCTGTATATAATATGTTAACCACCAGTTAAGGAACTTGGGTGATGCAATGGTTAAGTGGTTGGCTGCTAACTAAAATTTGGCAGTTAGGACTCACCAGCTGCTGCAGGAGAAAAGACCTGGAGAATCTGCTCTCATAAAATTAAACCAAGAAAACAAACCCATTGCTGTTGAGTTGATTCTGACTCAAAGCAACCCTATAGGATAGGGTACAACTGCCCCATAGTTTTCCAAGGCTGTATGGCTTTATAGAGGCTGGCTGCCACATCTTTATCCCATGGAGCAGCTGGTAGATTTGAACCACTGACCTTCAGGTTAGCAGCTGAGCACTTAACTACTGTGATACCAGAGCTCCTCCCCATAAAGATTATAGCCTAATAAACTCTATAGGGCAGCTCTGGTCTGTAGGGTTGCTATGAGTCAGAATAAACTCAATGGCACATAACAACAGCAACAATCACCAGTTTCAAAAGAAGAGAGAGGAGGCTAAGAGAAGGCTAATTTGAGCTGGCATTAGTTGGTGGTATTGGGCTAAGTTTCCAAAATATAGGGATTGATTTTGCCTGCTGGAAGATGAAGGATGTTTTAGAGGAAGATAACAGGCAACAGAGTGCAAAGTCAAAAGTCCAGGATTCATGGCCTGAACTCATATCTATGCTCCTCTGAGTTGTCTGTGTCCATGGATGTTATCCAAGAGAACAGGGCAGAATGTGGACTTTGGAGTCTTGGAGACTGGTAGTATGAGCATCAGTTGAGAGCTGGAACACAACCATAGGAGGCATTGACATCCATGTAAAGCTCTTTCAGATTCTTGCCATGCCCAATTTTAGGGGCAACTGTAGAGATATAGTATACCAGGGTCCAAGGTATAAAGGACACATTACAGGTTGGACACAGAATGGCACTGAATGAGGAGGCTGTTACAGGTTTAGGGCTCTGTCTACCTCAGAGCACTTAGATAGGCATAGCCCTTACAGTAGACTATTTTTAGGCTTCCCTTGATCATGGATGGAAAAGGCCAGTTTCTTACCAGTCTTGGTTTGCATTGGCTCATGATGGACACCCGTGGTGAAACTGTAACAGGACCAGGAAAGGAGAGAATTGGTTGAGTAGCTAAAAACTCAGCCTTTGGAGCTATTGGAACTGTGTTTGAAGCAGGATTTGACGATTTCCTAAGTATGTTTATTACTTTTTGCCTAATATCTGTGGCCCTTAGTTTTAGTCCTTTCATGTGTAAAATGAGGAAAATAATACCGAAGTCAAAGAATTATTGTAAATGTAGAACTTTCTCTGATGATAGAAATGGTTTATAACCCACACTATCTAATATGGATGCACAGTCACTTGTCACCTGTGGTTATTAAACACTTGATATTGTCTAGTACAAATGAGTAACTAAATTTTCATTTTACTTAATTTAAGGAGTCACATGTGGCTAGTAGCTGTCATATCAGACAGGGCTAGAGATGATAGCTATCATTAGGAACTATTTCCTGGGAATATAGTCCCTGGGTGGTGTAAGTGATCCAGCACTGGGCTAGTAACTGAAAGATTGGAAATTTGCTCCCACCCAGAGGTATCTCAGCAGAAAGATCTAGTGATCTCCTTCCTAATGATCACAGCCATGAAACCCTAGAGAGAGCAGTTCTACCCTGCAACACGTATGGTTACCATAAGTTGGAATTGCCTCTTTGTCAACTGGTTATTTTACTAGGAATAATAGAAAGTTAGATTTTGAGAATTTTCTTGACTGATACATTCTCTCATTTACTTATTTTCTAGCATGTTATATGCTGTTTGGATGCAGTGAAGCACAGCAAGTTCCCTATCTTGGGGAAAAATAAAAAATGCAAATTTAAATAAGCACAAGAGATACAATACGGAAGTATAAGATATGTCATAATACATGTTAATCTTAATCACAAAAGAATTTTCTACCAAGTGTAGAGGATTTCAGAAGAGCAAGCAATCTTTTTGGGTTAAAGTATTTGTAGAAAGAATGGGAGGGAATTGAGGTGGCTATCAAAATATGTTATATGCTTTGGTTAAGATGAAAGAGAGGAAAATATTTTAGGTGAGGAGGCCTGGTGCAAGAAAAATTGGGAGGACAGGAACCTGCAAGATGTGATCAGAGCTCAGAAAGTAGCCTGATTTGCTAAGATGAGATGTTTTGGAAGATGAATCAAATGAAAAGGAAAGTTGGAGTCATATGTTTATAGCTACCTTTGAATTTATGGCTGAAAAGCTTGGTGTTTATCTGTCAGGCTGTGAAAATTCAGAATCATTGAAGATGTTTAAGCTAAAGACTAATGTAATGAGTTATGTTTTAGGAAAATAATAATGGCAAAAGTATGAAGAACTGGGAAATGAGTTAGGAAGCTATTCCAGTAGTCTAAGTAAGAGGTAAAAAGTTTCTGAAGTAGGAGGGTATCTTTAGAAATGAAAAGGAAAACATCAGTTAGATGGGAATAATGGATTTTGTAGAGGTAAAACTGACAGATTAAAATATGATTATGGAGGCATTAGGAGCTCTGGTGCCATAGAGCCTAAGGCATTTGACTGCTAACCAGAAAGCTAGCAGTTCAAACCCACCAGCCACTCCCTGGAAGGAAGATTGGGCAATCTACTTCTGTAGTGATATTACCTTGGAAACCCAAGAAGGGGTCGGTATGAGTTGGATCTGACTTGATGTCAGTGGGTCGGTCAGTCATATGAAGGCATTGGAGAGAAGTGAGTCAAAAGATGACTCCAAGGTGCTCCCTCTGAGTGTCTCAGGAGGGGAGGAGAAGTGAGTCTAGTTAAATATATAGGCTTTGATGAGACATTGGGCCAGATGTATTACACTAAGAACCCTGAAGTGAATTTGAAGATTTCATAGGGAAACTGAGTCAATTGATGGTTACTTGGGGACTAAGAAATTCCTGGAAGACACAGTTGCTATTTACACATTTTAGTGCTGTATTTAAAAATTAGCTTGACCTAACACCTAATCTGAAAACCTTAGTGTATTTTATATGAGAACTGAAGCATTTTAATATGTTAGCGAGCACATGATTTGTGGAAAACTCTATAGTGATAATTAGGATCATACCACAACTGTAACTAGTAATTTATTGAACTTCTCTCCCTGCACTTTACCACCCTGCCCCAACCTTTGTTATCTCTATCATTTTTTTTTCCAGTAGAGTGAGAAAGAGCTAGCATAATAAAAAACTAGTGTTAGAACCTGAACCTAATCTCATTTCATCTGTGTAATAAATTTTGAAATATATGTCTAGTTCTTTTTGTTATTTACTAGAGTGAGAAGTGGAAAGTGAGACTGGTATTAGCCATGTTTTTCCTGTAGTCTTCATCAAATCTTTCATTCTGAGCTACAGTGAAGTAGTTCTTCCAGTCTCCCACTGTCCCTGAAACAGTAACATGTGAGAAAGTCAGGAGCTGTAGGAGGAATTCTTATTTTCCTATTCTATTTCTGTGTAGTGATTTCTGTTCCACCTTCATAGGAGGCAGTATGGGACAAAATATTTCTTTTACCATCCTGTCACTTTTTTTTATCCTGAAGAGAAGAATTTTCTTTCTCTCTTGCCCTCTTTTACATCAAAGCATCCTGGGTAGTTCTGCCTATAGGTTCCATGCTGTACAAAAACTGAGAAGGGCCTATTTCTGGAAGGTTGCAAGGAATAGTTTTGTGAAAGGAAAAATGATTTCCTTGACATTCTTTAATTTCAGTCTCTCTAACCATTCCTGGTACCTTTTCCAGATAGATTTTTTCCCATAATTCTTACCATCATCTGTCATCCTATGCATTTTTGTTTTTTATTGTTTATGTTCGGAATATAATTTCTATGAGGGCAAGGATTTTTGTCTGTTTTGTTAACCAGAGTGAACACTGCCTAGGATGGTGTCTGGCATATAGTAGTAGCTCCTCAATAAATATTTGTTGAATGAATGAATTTAACTGGTAGCCTAGAGTCCTCTATAAAATTGATAGTTTTGTCTGACTTAATTTTGAGTATTTTCACAATATCAGTGGGAGGGGGAAGTAGGAATTAGGGTTTGGATTTAAACACCAAATCTCATCCTGATGCCTTAATAATAGCTAATTAAACATTGTTTTCATTTCAATAGTGATTTCTTAAATACTTTTACCAGAATCATTCATTAGAAACCTTACTTTTTTCTACCATAAAAAATAAATTCCCCAAATGTTCTGAAATATTAGACAATTCTTTTAGAATTATGACCAAAAGAAAACATAAAAACCTTTTCTCATGAATGGAGAAATGGAGTGGTCCATGACAGGAAGCGATGAATAGTTTGCCATTGGATTCTGCTTCATTATGTCAAATGAAGTATGATGGACAATTTTATCTAGAATTTCATTATGTACATTATTTCCAATAAATTCTGACAACTTCTGAATTTCATGCTTTGGGTTCTATAATCAAAGTAAAAAAACAAAGTGGAGATTTCATATAAAATAACTAGTTTTTCAAAAGAATATTGAACTAGATTAGTGACAGTAACCAGTAACATGCCATGAGTTAACATATAATCATAATCTTAAAAGGCTCAGCTTTCCAGATATGATTTATTTTGATATGATGAACTATATTAGCTTTTTAAAAATTAATTGGAGAGATCCAGCAAGATGGCGGACTAGGCAGAAAGACTGCACAGACCCTCTTCAACAAAGAAAAGGGAAACCAATTAACACAGACACAGAACATAATCCTGGATCTCTGAGCCATGAAGGGAAGGATATAGAAGTGGATTAAACCCCAACTAGCAGAAGAATTTGCATGAAAATACCAAAAAAAGGAGACAGATGGAGCTGCGGTCTGGCAGCGATCCTGAGTGACCCTGATGGCACAGACAGCTTGGAGATTCCCAAGTGGTGGTAGGACCTAAGAATTAACCTAAAAATCATCCTGCTAGCCAGGGACTGCACAGAGGACTGTGCACAGTCGCTGGGGAACAAACAGAGAAGGTGAAGAGAAAGGTGGGCTGAGCTGAGGACTTTTGCCGGTCCG